CACTCTAAAAAATGCTGGGTTGTTTCAATCCAATTTTGGGTCAAATATGGACTAACCCAACTGTTGGGTTAAAAAGTTAATTTAAAAATGTAACCAAAATTTAACCCAACAGTTGGGTTAGTCCATATTTGACCCAACATTGGGTTGAAACAACCCAGCATTTTTTAGAGTGCATGTTTGTTTTGAGTATTAAATAAGGAGCTTTAACATAAACTGTTGTTTTCTGTTGAACGTGTAAATTATGCCATAAAGTATCCAATTTTAGATTAGATATTGATAAAACAATATAGCACTTCAAACCGATTATCGGTCTATATTCTGTGTACTGTGAGTATATTGTGCATATAGTGTACAATATATTTTTACTGTGCATATATTACGTTAAATATTGTGGTCTGATATCTGTCACTACACCACTGCATTGTTTTTGGAACATGCACCCAAGACTTTCATCCATCATCACTGTATATGGTGACGTGACAATAAAATGATCTGATTTGATTTAGAAACCGAACCACATTATCCACACTCATCAGCGCATACATGTGTAAAACACTGCAATAACACAATCCGTGGAAAAGGGGTTGTCGAGTATTTATTTGATATAATTCCTGTCTAGATGATTGATGCTTAGCCTGGCTTCTTGGGTAAGTTTTGTCAAAGTACGGTCTGGCTGACCTCAGAGGAATGAGCTCTCTCATTGCTTCGATGAACAGACAGTGCATTCACTGAGACTTGGGAGAAGATTTCCCTCCACTAATACCATCTCGTAGTTCGCACGGTGAGCCAATAGAAGTGCTTACATAGTACGGTCTCTCTCACATGCGCACAGAAGTGTGGTTAGAGGGGACACAGTAGTCAATGTGAAGGGACATGGCCAGTATTACTGGTTCTGGAAGCTTTTAGAAACCACCCAACAACCTCCTGCTGTGTGTGGTCAGTGTTCACCGGGCAAAAGAGTTAGACTGGCACAGACATTGCTGTGATGTTTTTCTCATGTTTTCATCAAAAGAACAATGTTCACTGATGATGCCAGCAATGGGTCGGCCAGCAGGATGAGGATTTGTTCAATGGTTAGCGGCATTGCTACAATATCCCTTACGAAAAAGAAGTTTATTCAAGTGTGCTATTAGTATACTTCTTTTAAACTAAAAAATAGGAAAGTATACTTTTAGTCTACTTTTTATGTACTTCTCAGAAATTGGCTTTATGTACTTCTCAGACATATACTTAAATGGCATTTAAGTATACTTGACTTATACTTAGAAAAAGTCTAAATATATTTTAGCTATAATTGTGCTCCTAGAATCCGTGTTTTCATTGTTATATGGTAGGGGGCGCTAGTACACATATTCTGTACAGAATTTCCAAAAAACACAAGTGAAGAAGAAACCGAAACAACAGATGCTTCCACATGTAATCTAACACGATCTTCAGACATAAAACAGTATCAAAACTGGGTAACGTTATGGAATAAAATGTTGACCAATGAAGAGGTAATAATCACTGTCAAGCTTTGGGTGTTGATCAACTTTACCTAAGTTTTGATTATAAAATAAACTTGAAGTATACTACTTTTTGGTAAGGGATGCAATGGCACATGGAGAGTTAATCTGACCCTTGCAAAATTGATTTAACCATACAGTACTTTTCACTGTAAAAATATTGTTCAGATAACAAAGCATAATGTATTAAAGTAAGAAAATGGGTTTAATCAATCATTATGTAATGCCACTTTACTAATAAGGTTGCATATAGTTATAATGCTGAGTCAACCTCTTTTTTGCAGTAAAAGAAAATTTGCTGAGCAACAGTGGACAATGAATCTAATTAGTATGTACATGATGAAAAGAACATTGCAAAACTCTTACTGTTCTGCAAAGCCAAATGAACGGTGAGGTCCTTAAAGGTCTTTTCAGTTAAGCTGACTTTAGTGACATTTTAGTACCATGGTGTTCCTGTAGATTAACTAGAACAGCATGGTGCTAGCAAACTTCAAGGTCATGAGTTCAAATCCCACCCTTGTGAAAAAGAAGTGCAAATAATTTTATAGTAATCAAGAGAGTGTATTATATTTGCAACACACTTAAGTACTTTAAAAAAAAAGTACATATTACATTTTAGTGTTTAATAATCTGTTGTCATTTTTTAAAGTAGTGCACTTACTGTAATGGGTTGACTAACATACGGAAGCACATGTACTTGATTATAATTTTCACTACAGTGTGTTATTTGATATGACATTAAAGGATAATATATTTTAAATGTACTAATTTGCAACTTCATCTTTAAAAAATGTGTAATTGATACAAAATACATGACATACAAGTTTCACTTGAAATAGTATTCAAATATATTTGAGTTTACCATACATGCATTGTGAGTATGTGATTACATATAATTATATCTATATTAATGTTGAACTTAAGAGTGCTTTTTTATGCACTTAAGTAGGAAAGCACTCTTAAGTTTAACTAAATGCATTTAATTTAAGAAGTTTTAAAAAAGTTTTGAAAACCTTTTACATGTAAATAAATATATAGTACTTTTAAATAATGTATATTTTTTAAATCATGCACATTAACATATCAAGAGACTTATCTGTAACCATAAAAGCTGTTTAATTTTACATGGAGAGGTTCGCCTCATAGAGGCCGCCATTTTGAAATCACATGCCCAGCTGGATACTATTTGCATTATCTCTGTGATCTTGTGTTAACTTCTTTCTATCACAAAATAGATAATTTGGATGATGCCTTTATATACAGCATTTCTACAATGACTGCTACATTCACGCCACCAGGTGTCAGTATCAAGTAGGCCTAAGTAAGTCCAAGATGAATTCTCTATTGGCCAGCACAACATCAACCAAAACATTAATGAGTGCACGTTTCAGCCAACTAGAAGTTTCAGATGTACTCAGTCACTGAACATTTTTTAGTTGGAGAGATTTTATTTTTTTAGTAATGTAGGCCTACTTTATATGCACAGCCATGTATCATATGAGAGAAGTCACACAATCACTTCTGATGTGATGCGTGTAAGTACTTAAGGATAAACCCTTTGACTGTGGTTCTTCTCCACAACAGCTGTGAATGGAGAATAACAGTAAGCTGAGTTCAAACCACAAGATCGTGTTTACAAAATGAATGAATTAAACCCCCCAGTGTCGTGAGATGGCTATATGTAAAGTAATACAGTGGGTTTTGTGCTGATGCCTCGCTGCGTGTCTGAGAGAGTCTGATGCAGTGGGCTGACCTTCTCTCTCTCCTTGCTCCGCACTGGGCAGCACTTAGATTCGTTGTACCTCTGCCAACTTGCTCTTCTTTGGAGCCGTCTGCCTGCCTGTCTGTGTGAACTCATTGACCAGGAAAAAAGGTTTTTTTACCCACTCCAGACTCTAGGGAGACTATGTCTGACAGTGTTATCTGTCTGGCTTGACCTGCCAAGCCTGCTGACTCTGAGACGGTGGTCCTTGCTTCATTCAGGAACAATATCAAATGGTCTGAAAGAGGATTGCATGTTGGCCCTGAACCATTTGGATGGTTTAGACACAATGATAAGATAAGATGAGAGATAAGATGGCGCCGACGCTGATGGCTGCCTCCGTGGCGTGCTCCGCAGTTGTTTTTATGTTTTTGTTAGTTTGTCCTGTCTTTAGTTATATCCCTGCAATCAGTTTCACCAGAGACGAATTGCTGGACATTCGGAAGTACACACCACCCGATATTTCA